CCTCGATTACAACCGCAAAGCTTTACTGCGTTGTTTAAAACTCTGAACCAAATGTGGCAAAATATTAGCACGTGTTCGGTCGAAGCAGCAGATCCACGAGCCTGTGCTTCTTCTCTGCCCCCTTTGGGAGGTCGGAAACATGACACATTACAGAATGGACGGAGGTCACCAGTCAACACCTGAGGTTTTTCTCTCGGAAGAGAGAACACCAGTTAGAGCTCGCTACTGTGCATCTTGATAACGATTAAACCACACTTTTGCTTTTTAAATCGTGTTCAGCGTTTCTGAGTCGATCCGGATGACCAGCTAGTAGGGACGAAGAGCTGAAATAAGCGACGTACTTCCGCCTTTGCGCACACGTTTTTCAACAGCAATTTGAAGGCTGACCCGTTGTTACAGAGACCCCTGAGTGGGAGGTTCTCTCCACTAATTCTGTGGCTAATCTCGGATGCTACATGCCAAAGAGGTCAACGAAATAATTTAAAAATAGCAAGCCATGGTTGATAACCTGTACACATTTCGACTTAGGTGGTTTATTTACTTGTTTGGTGATTACTTACGGTGCCTACAATATTGAATCGTTGTTTACCACGATTAAGGAAATGAAGCAACATCGCCAAGGTTCTGTCCTTGGCTTACTTGCTCTTGGGCACTGAAAAATTTCTATCCATTCCAGCTTAGACTATTTGTTTCTAGGGTCTGGGGACAGACTTTAAAAAAAAAAAATCGAAATGGAGTTAAAACAATGTCAGGATGGACCTATTTTTCTGCAGCTCTCCTGTACCAAGGAGATGTCTTTTGTTTCATCAGCTGGTTCCCACCGACTGGGGAATGAATGGGCTATCATTTTCCTCTTAAGCAACACGCTGTAATTGTAAGCAACGTTTTACGGTTCTGATGGAAATCTAAACAGTATAACACCCTCGTGGAAAAGAGACACGTAAGAAAACATCTAAGCACTCCTCAGTATGTGTGATATGCTACGTACGCTCTCTATAAAGCTCAGGATTTAAGTTAAAAACAACAGGCTTTTTTATAAAAAAAAAAAAAAAAAAGTGTATACTTCCGTACATTAATAAAACAAAGAACGGTGTTTGAAAAAATTCTACAGCACGATGCCCGGCCCTGGTGTGACACGTACGACCTGTAACAATTTACCTCGAAGGAAAACCATTAAATCAGCATTAAGGGATCACCACCATCACCACCTCTGAACTTTCATTCGTTTTAATTACAAAACCGAACACACTCTACTTTCACGAAATGATAAGGGAGCTCAATAAATAAAGCCGTGACTTTGCGCGATGTGCAAACACTTAGAAAATTATACCCGAGAAGTGAAATTCTCCAAAGCCTTTGACAGACTGACCATTTCAGTCATGGGGATGCGATGGTCCTCTGACACCAGCTAGCCCAGCATCAGGCCACCAAGAGGCCACAAAATCCCCGAGGAGGACGGCTTTATGAGGACACCAGCCCGTGAGAGAACGGGGGGCGAGTGTGAGTTTGGTTATGTGGAAAAAGCGCTAGATTCAGGATCTTCAGACCGGGGTTTTATGCCAACTTCTGCCTCACGACTTGAGAAGTTATTTAGCATAACCGAGCTTTCCTTGCCCCCTACAGAAAGTGATCGGAGTTGATGAGGTATCATTAAGATCTCTTTCAGTTATAAAAGTCCTCTGCCTTTAATAATATGTCTTTATTTTTGAAGAGAGAATATATTACTGTAGATTAAAAAAATAGAAAGTTTTGCGAAATATTCTGTTAAAAGTCTCACTTCTACCCTGCACCCATAAAGAAGTTATTGTTTTCATTTGTTTCTGATGTCTCCTTTCAGAGCTTCTTTACAGAAATATGCGCAAACGCAAACAGATATTCTTATTTACCTCTTTTTTGCCAAAAAGACGTCATATCGGTACACAGATGTTCTTCATTTTTTTTAACAACTGCATAGTTTTCATGATATGAATATTCAAAATCTATTTAATCAGTCTCATACAGAGAGGCATTGAAATTTTTCCAGTCTTTCATTACTATACCTCATGCTGCAAAAAAAAGCAAAAAAAAAAACCCCACAAACTGTTATGCATATTACCTGTACAGTATAGCTTTAGGAGAAGCTTCCAGATGCGGAACCGTTGGCTGGGTCAGTGGGTAAAATGCATTCACGATTTTAGTAGAACGTGCCCAAATGCCTCAAAGATAGTTGTACCTACCTGTACTCTCCCAAGCAAG